AACCTAAGTGTCCCTCAACTGATGAGTGGATAATGAAAATGTCGTTCATTTATACAATGGAGTTTTTTACTCAGCAGTAAAGAAAGATGAAATCATGAAGTTTGCAGGTAAATGGATGGATCTAGAAACTTATACTAAGTGAAGTAACACAGACTCAGAAAAACAAAAAAGACTTATGTTCTCCTTCATTTGTGGATCCTAGCACCAAATCTTTTTATATTCCATGTTCTTTTAATAAGATGATGCTGTACAGCAGTCTCTTCTGTGTGAATTAACTACCACTATCACAACATCACCTATGCCTGCTTGCTAAACATTGTCACAACTGGGCTTGTTGACAGTTGTGCTCCTTCATTAAAGAAGGGGAAAGCAGGATCAGTGGACCCTCACTGGAGTATCCAGCCACTCTTACCAACCAACTGTATGTAATTTGGCCCTAATCGCACATGGTCTCCTGGATTTGGGGATGACTATATAATGTGAGGAAGGCTAGGAAGAGAAGGCTTGATCCATGCTAGGTAAAGGCTTTCCAGTGTGCATACCCCCAGGTCACTCATACACCTCAGCAATCCTCAGTCATCTCTGTAAGTAAGCTCAGTAAATTCACTGGTTCCCCAGGAAAATTTTAATCAAACGTTGGTTTGACACTAGAACCTTAAAAGGGTATAAGCATTGCTTAGTATACCCAGGAAAAGAATTCTCACAACAGATGGAAAATTTGTTAGTTATTATGTCTCATAATTATTAAAAAAGAAAATGAGAATGTAAAAGATGTTAAAAGGATATGGGAATGGAGATATTTTCCAAAATAGAAAAAATGAGAAAGCCTAATTAAGTGATGAAGGTCTGTTTAGGTTTGTTATGATATATAAATGATGCGACAAAAATAATATACACATAATCTTAAAATTTCTATGGTCATAGTTTGTTGGGAGCTATTAATCCATTAAGCTGTGGCAGGGTTGCTTGTTTACTTAGAGTTTGTGTTTTGCACACCAGTACCTAATCTGCCGAGTCAGGAGGAATGTGTTTATATGGTGGAATTCACAAGTATTTGACCGTTCCTTGACCCTCAGATACAGGTGGGAAAAACAGCTGTTGAAGCTAATTGAGCTAAGCAAACTGTGGCTATCTCTGATGTTCTTCTGTATAAAAAGGAGGAGCTAAAATAAACCGGGGCTGCAGTCTCTACTGACGGTCCTCCCAAGCATCTTTTCTCTGTCTCTTGTTCTTTCTTTCAATCCTCACTCTCCCTTTCAGGTACTGTCCATTTTGGCCGGCTGGCACTGGCAAGTGGCACCGAGAA